TGGAGTTTCCTCAAAATATTAAAAATATATCTACCCCATGGCCAGTATTCTTAAAATAGGAAATCTCTAAACATAGATGTTCAGGGGCCATAAATTTAAAAAGATTTAAAAAGGGGCCATAAATTTTAAAAAAATTTTAAAAGATGTTCCCCTCAAAAAGCTTCATGGATTCATAATTCTTCCTATAATAATAATTATAGTAATAATTGACATCAAATTTATATTTTTTCCATGTCACATCTCTAAAAGTGAGATTTTTTTTTTTAAAGCTTTAGTTATTTATTTATGCCAGTACTGAGTACAGTCAGAAGCACGGGAGGGTGAGAGAATTCACCAGAGCCAGAGCGGGGAACAGAACAGGCAGATAGACGAAATACACTGCTGAGGGGAGCAGCAGGCGGCAGGAGAGGTCTGCGCGCCTTGTGGGACCCTCGCTGGTGGCTGGGGATCGAACCGGTGCTGCAGAGGCTGTGGACAGCTTCGCAGCTTCGCAGCCCAGTGCTCAACCGCTGAGCCACCAGGGGAGGCCCTAAAAGTGAGATCTTAATCTTAATACATCTTACTGTATTAAGTGAGTTATTTAGGTATTTTATATTATTTTATGTAAAATAAATATATCTGAATAGAAAATATTTTGTAAATATATACATGAGGAAAGGAATATCCATGAACATAATTTTGCCCATAACACAGCAGTTTCATTCATAAGAACCACATTCATAAATTTGTCAAAAAATATGTATAAAATTATTCATAACAACACTGTGCAGATAGCCTCAAACTGAAATACACACCCAAATGACCATTGACAGAAGAATAGATAAAGTAATGATGCTGTAGTCATTCAACAGAATAGTGTACATCAGTAAGAATGAATAAACTACAAACATATACATTGACATGGATGAATCCTATCATATTAATGTTAAGTGATAGGATTCAGGCACAAAGGACTACATGTTTTGATTCTATTTAATTAATTTCAAAAGTAGGTGAATTATGTATGTGTTGTTAAAAGGTAAGAGAATATCAGAAAAGCCTTGAAGAGTGACAGAGTCCACTGATGGATGAATGGATAAAGAAATTACACACACACACACATACACACACACTAGAATACTATTCATCCATAAAAAAGAAGAAAATCTTGCCATTTGCAATAATGTGAGGATATGGATGTTAACCAAACATTGTCGTAATCATTGCATTAGATATACATTATTGTATATATCAAATTATTGTGCTATACACCTTAAACATAAAATGCTTTATGTCAATTATATCTGATGCAATTGGGGAAAACTGAGAAAACTTATGTCTAAAATTAAACTCAAAATCACACCTGCACAAACCAGGCCCCATTTTGCACTAATGGACATTTGCTAATTTGTCTACATTAATTAATTGGTCTCACAGGGTAAATATCTTTTTTTATACTTTTTAAAAATTTATTTATTTATACAAGAACCACGGTCTAGTCCAGATGTGTGGGAGGGAGAGAGGATTCACCAGAGCCAAAGTGGGGAACAGAATGTGCAGACTGATGAAATACACTGCTGAGGGTGAGGGGACGAGGTAAGAGAGGTCTGCTGAGCCATGTGGGATCCTCGCCGGCCGGCCAGGATTGACCCAGCGCTGCAGAGGCTGCGGATAGCTTCACAGCATTGTGCTCAACTGCCTGTGCCACCAAGGGAAGCCCTCACAGGGTAAATATCTTGTAGCCAGTGTTCCTTCTGTGACGTGAAGGTGCATTCATTTCTTCTCTAAACTTAGAGCCAAATTCTGTGAAAAGAATCTCATTTTCACTTTATGTACCTATTTGTAGAATAGTGTAGATAACATTAGAGACATCTAGATATTCAAGTCATTTTCTCTTTTTAGCTAATATTGTCTGCTTATATTGACTATATTTGACTGGCACATTAGTTGTAATCATTACATTTATATTTTATTATAATCAGTGCACATGTTACCTAATGACCCTTCATCAAAAAAACAATTCACCTATTGAAGGAAAACAGAGAATAAATTGTGCGTGGAAACATTATATTAACAATTCTCAGGAAACTTATTATGTCTAGATTGGTAGTTTAACCTTTAGAGAAAGCAAATAATTGGTTCCCTTTCTCCCTTGTGTCTACATCATTTTAGTAGCTTTTTAAAAAGTGGTTCTGTTTCCACATTTTTATTAGCTTCCCAAGCACAGACATCTGTCATCAAACAACAACTGAAAGTTTTATCCAAATTGGATGAAAAACATATGTAAGAATGTGTATCAATAAACAGAGACTTGCCAGAGATGCACTAATATTTTGCCTTTATGCCTATTATGGAAATTTTAGTCTGAAATTAATTCATTTATTTTTATTGATGTAACATTGGTTTACATCATTGCTTGTGTATTAGAGATATAGGCTATCCCCCTTCATCACACCAACCACCAGAGCAATGAAAGTCCATCCCCATAATACATTGTGCTCTCTCCCAACTTTGTTCTAGCCCCTCCTCTGTGCCCCCTCCTCTGATAGCCTAGTTCTTTAGTCAGAGTCCTAGGGTTTGTTGTTAGTTTAGCTTTACCTGACCCTTTGTGTGTTTTCTCTATACTCCACATATAAGTAACAACATCCCTTATTTGTCTTTCTCCTTTTGACTTAGTTCATTTAGCACAATCCCTTCCTATCCATGATTCTGCAAATGGCAAGAGTTTCTCATTTTTGATAGCTGAGTCGTACTCCATTGTGTATATGATCCACTATTATAAATCTTGTTCCCTTTCAAATCAGTGCACTGATATTCTTCAGATAGATAACACAGGAGTGGAATTGCTAGGCTATATGATAGATCCATCTTTAATATTTTGAGAAATCTCCAAATGTTTACCATGGAGCTAGATCAATCTATGTATCTACCAATAGTGTACAAAGATTCTTCTTTCCTCATATCCTCAATAAAGGTAGTATCTGTTCTTTTCAATGTGAGCTACTCTTAGAGGTGTGAGGTGGTTCACCATCACGGTTTTGATCTACATTTCCCAAAAATAGGAGATGATGAGCTTTTTTTCATGTGCGTGTTGAACATAACCAGATGTGTTAAGATATGAACATTATTACAAATTTTCTAGCAAAATGTCTTTGTATCTGGATAGTATCTATTTGTAATAATAGACTCCTCTAGACTAAAAACTAGAAAATTAAACTCTAACCACCATACCTTTCCCTGTATTTCCATTTCAAAATGAAAAATAATCATTAATATAGTTTGTCATTAGTGTCTTTCATTATTTAAAGTTTTTGCCCTAATATTAATTTGTATTTACATTTATATGTATATAGCTTATATATTCATATAATGTATAAGACAGTATTTTAATATGATAGCCTATCTCTTACACATTCATAGGTCTAATTTTCTTGACTTTATTTTTTGATGTTCAAGAAACATCAGCAACTAAATTATCACAAGGTGGCAGCACAACTCAAGTCTTATAAAATGTATTTCAACTGGTGATTTTGTTTTTTAATGACTATTTTTTTCCAAAAACTTGAATGACAAATGCAATATAATGAAATATTTTAGCTTATATAAAAAAATTACCTGTATCTAACTACACACAATTTTTAGAATAGGATCGATGTATTTGCTATTTTCTTAGTAAGATCACAAAATTTTTAACTATTTAAAGTTACTTATGCCAAGGTCTAACAAAGTGTAGATTAATGTGCCTGAGTTTTTAGAATCTGACATGTCTGAATTAAAACCTGGGTCTTCTTTTTACCAGTTCCATAATTTAGAAAGTGCATCGTGATTGTTCCATAGATCTAGATCTAGATCTAGATTTGTCTTTTCAGTTCTTAAATATTCTCTAATTGTCACCATTGAAGTTGCCTTTCCATTTGTGTTATATTTTTTCACATAGAGAAGACTTCTTTTTTAACTTTTCTTGTAATGATTAGATTCCAATAATATTGATATTTTAGATCTTAAATACTGGAATTTAAATAATTATAGTTTTATTATTTATATATGCATCATGTAGATAAGAATTATTCTTCCACTGTACAGTGTGTGTGTGTGTGTGTGTGTGTGTATCTTTCAGTTCACAGGACTATAGTGACCACATAATAGATACTTGATTAATGATTTGAAAAAGAAAAAATTCCATTGTTTATTGATTTACTTCAATAATATCAGAATTTTATTACAGAAAAAAACATTGAGATAAACTGGAAGACCACACTCAAGTTTTTAATAGATTTTTTAATAAGGCCACACAATTTATTGGGGCAGATCCAAGATTAGAGACAAATTATATTTCCAATATACCACATACTGAATCCTAATCCTGTTTTGCTCATGATCATCTACTGTGATCCAAGTTAGAAACTTTAGGCATAATTATGTTCTCTTTCTCCATTATCCTCCAAACAATCACAGATTCATGTCAAATTTATCTCCAAAATGCCTCTTGAATTCATCTCATTTTATTCACACGTATTTCCAATCTTTACTTAATGCTTCTATTACCTCACTCATGCAAGTATAATGGTATCTGAAGTTATACTGGCTGCTGCCTCATATTTAAAATTAAGGCACTATTGTGAGTTTTATGTGTGGAATAACCATGCCAGATAGTGGCCTTTCTTGTAGTATCATCTGGAAGAAATATTCCTAGTTAAGCATATTATCACTCTGTTCAGTTTTGCTCGAAGTGTATCTTCTGCTTAGCCTACTGCAGATGCCTGAAGAAGCAGGGGAGTGAGAGAACACTGAACTCCTGGTTATCCCCATTTTCAGAGGCAGATTCACAGATAATTGCACACATTTTTGTTAAGTTCTTACTTTTTTTTTTTAAGATTTATTTATTTATTTATTTATACAAGCACTGGGTACAGTCAGAAGCGCGGGAGGGCGAGAGAATTCACCAGAGCCAGAGCGGGGAGCAGAGCAGGCAGAAGGACCGAAGTACACTACTGAGGGGAGCAGCGGGCGGCAGGAGAGGTCTGCGCGCCATGTGGGACCCTCCTCTGGTGGCCGGGGAGCAGCCGGGGATCGAACCGGCGCTGCAGAGGCAGAGGCAGCGGGCAGCTTCGCAATCCAGTGCTCAACCTCTGAGCCACCGGGGAGGCCCGAAGTTCTTACTGTTTTTAGCAAGATTCTTGCCTTGAATCCAGAGCCTGTCCTGTTCAACTTTTTCAGGCAATGACTACCCATCCTTCATCTGGGATGGGTGAGGTCAGAAGAATCTTCATTTACTCCAATGATTTTGGAACTTGCTGAAAGCAAAAGGCAGAATTACAGAGGGTGTGGGCTTTCGTTTCAGAACTCAAGTTACAAGAAATATCCTGTTTTCATAATTTATGAATATCAAATAAAATATTAAAGACCTGGTTTATAATAAATGGTTTAAATAGCTTAATTTTATCATACACACTCAGATTATACATTTGATTTAAAAGTTGTAATAGATTAGTGTTCCTGACACTAATCAGGTACCAGGTTAAGAAATATTGTTCATTCAGTACTCCTCTGCACTAAAGGAGTCATTTTCCTGAGTACATCTTCAGGAAATAATTTTCTTTATAGTCTATATATTGTTAGCTTGTCAAGTATTTGAAATGGTGTATTGTGTGAAATATATGAATTTTTGCTCAATTTGATGTTTGTGAGATTCATAGACATTGACTAAAACAGTTGTTCATTCATTTTTGTTTTTATAAAATATTCCATTATATATATATATATGTTAAGAATATGCTTCAAGTGCTTTATCTATCTCCTTTTTTTATACATTTAGTTTGTGTCTAGTTTTTTCCCCCCACACAAGTATTCTTAAGCATCCTAATGTAAATGTGCAACAGTATTTTCTAGGTAATTATGCAACTAAGGAAGTCCTTTACTAAAGGAGCATAAATCTTGGATCAGAAATGCAGAATCTTAGAGTATGAACTCTTTCAACTTGACTACATGTTGCAAGATTGCCAATTTATATTCCAATGTATAGTCCTGCCAGCAGTGTAGAAGTGTTTTGGCTGCTTCCTATCCTCACCAACACTTTATTTTTAAAGCTTTAAATTCTTCTCTGTATAACAGATATTGTCAAAGCTGGACACAATTGGAATGAAAAGGACAGATTTTAATCAGTAATATGCTACTGCAATAGGAAAAAGAGTTTGTCCAATGTAAACTGAACTCATTTTCCACATTTACAGAGGTGACTGGGCATTAAAAGAGAGAATGAAGAAACAGGGATGGGGCTAGTGAGGCTTCAATATCAACTCAGGGAAGTGAAAAATTACAAACGTTGTGAAGGGAGTTGGTCTGTGTGTTGATAGTGGCTCAACTATGCTAGACATCCCTCCCACAGGGAATGTGGGCTTGGTCTTCAGGTGATGGCTAAAACAAACACACTGTTTCAGTTGGATTGAGTTTTTTCAGGCAAGTTTTAGGAGGGGTTAGAATCATCCTGGTGATATGGCCTCAAAAAGTTAGAAACGATATTAGGATAATGAACTAGAAATTGTTCTTTGGAGTGAGAAGATGCAATTCCAGATCTTGGCTACCCTACTGTGTGATCTTGGGTAGCTCATATAAACCCTCTGAACTTCAGGTGTGTTATCTATAAAACGGGAATACCAATGCCCTTTACAACTCAGAGTTACTGCAAACATCAAGTGAGATAATGTGGACAAAAGTGAATCTTTAACAAAAATATTTTCCAGTTATAATCGATTACTTTTTTCTTATAACTACAAATAGATAATCATGACATAAAGACTTTAAGAATAACAAAGAAAAAAATAGCGGTGATTTTTTTTTAAACTAAAACCTGTTTACAAACCAGTATTACCTCAATTAAAAAAAAAAAAGAAAACCAGTTTTCATGAGGATATAGTTGTTATTGAATTAACTTTATAATTATTTTTCTGCTCTCTCACTTTCAGCCCACAGTTTACATAGTTAAATTACATATAATTTATATTTCTGTCTGATTCCCAGCTGGATGAGATTCTAGGACTCATGTTAATACAAAAGACATTCCTTGGTGTTTACAACTGAAAGCTTAAACCTAGTTTTATTATCGTATATATTAATGTCTTCCTCCCAGCAGAACATAAGCTTTCATTTACACCTGAGTCTCCCTACAACAGTTGAGTCACCAGCCAGCTTTTACTCTCAACCCAACTGGTTGAGATTATGTGCGTATCCAGTTTTCATTGGAAAAACAAGCTTCAGAAGCAGGCTACCATGATGCAGAGTTTTTATATCACAAAAGACTTTTGTCTTTGTGCTTTTTTTTTTTTATTTTGTCCCAATAATTTGCCTTCTTATCCCTTATCAGTTGGTAGGAAGAGAAAGAAAATGTTATGCAATTTTTCTTTCCATTCATAATCATTTATCATTACTAAGTGCAGTCTTTGTGCCAGCCACTAAATAAAGAGATTTACACATTTACTTACTTTCATTCTAAAAGTAGCCTTCTGAAGTAGATATTATTATGAGTTCTGATAAACTTCACATAGACAATAGGTGGAAGAGATGTTTTTAAATGCAGATATACGTGACTCTCAAATCCATTTTTCTTCTATACTTCTCTGTAGCATCTTTTATTTGGCAGCCCAGGAATTTTTTTTTTGAAAAAGTAATTGCAGTGACTGCCTGGCAATCTCTTCTTGAAGCCCTCCAAATTTCCCAGCTGGGACCACTTAATTCCCACCTGCTAATTCTATCTCTTCTCAGCTGCAGGGAACCTCTCTTTAAAAAGCTCTAGGCCAACAGTTGATTGTTCAGCATTTCTTCTTGTTAATCCTGCTGGGCTTTTGTACTTGGGTAAACTTCATTTCTAAATTGATCCTCTTCTCTGTTCCACTAATTGGTGCCTAAGTCCTAATACTGTTCTCTGTTTACACTAATAATTCAAGAGACCTGGAGTCCTTTTTAACTCGTGTGTGTGTGTGTGTGTGTGTGTGTGTGTGTACACTTGTGCACGTGTGCATTTGGTTTGGTTTGTAATTATTTAAGTTTCATCACCTTTGGAGGTCTGATAATTTCTTCTAGATTTATCATATATTGAACTTGGTCTAGGTTCCTATGCAACTAGCAAGTGGCAGAACCAGTATTCAAATTTTGAAGCTCACTGCTTCAAAGACTGTGCTCTTAAACACATGTTGAGTTGCTTCATTTTTCATAGCAAATAAATGTTGGATAGTTCTTATTTTCCAAAATAAGTATCATTCCTAACCCTAAATTATTTCAATGACTACTTTATTCTCTAAATGGTTACACTACCATTTTGTATTAAAGGAATAAATGCAGAAATGTTTTTCCCTTTTCTCTTTCATAGAAGCTGAGAAATTTATTGTATCATTGAAATAACTTTTTTCACTCCTTTAATTTGCAAAAAATTTACACTTCCCGGAGGAGGCTTCGGGACTACAGGAATTCACAGGCATCTCAAATTGCCTCAAAAGTACCATTTTTCGGGCCTCCCCGGTGGTGCAGCAGGTTGAGCGCAGTGCTGAGAAGGGGTCCGCAGCCTCTGCAGTGCAGGTTCGATTTCTGGCCAGCCAAGAAGATACACACATGGTGTGGCAGACCTCTCCTGTCTTGCTCACTGCTCACCTCAGCAGTGTATTTCAGTAGATCTGACTGTTCTGCTCCCCACTCCATCTCTGGTGAATCCTCTCACCCCCCCACACCTCTGGCCTATTCCCCAGCTGTTGTATAAATAAATTGAAAAAAAATCTTTAGAAGGGACTCTTAGCCCGGCCAGGTTTTTATCTGCCTTTAGCATTTCTGTTAATCAGTGTCTTTGCAAACAAGTGATTGCTTTTTATGTTTCCTTAAACTTTAGTCTCTATCTCGATTGCGCCCATATTTTCACCAGACAGGGTCATTACAATGTCAGTATATAGGACAGTGTGCATAGAAATTTGTTTTAAAATAAGGTTTTGAAATTTATCACAGTTTCTGTGTATTTATTAAAATAGTTAGAAAGGCCCTTTCTCTGGTTAATTAATATAATTAATATTAGGAATTATCATTTAAAAAGAATAAGCCATAAACTGATCAATGCAATAATGTTATTGTCTAAGCAACCAAAAAAAATAAAACCTACAATATATTCTTTTTTGTAATGTGATAATAATTCAAATAAGTAGTCCATATAAAAGTATTACAGAAGCAACAAGAATAAAAAAATTGCAATTAGAAGCAACATGAGGGCCCCCTCGATGGCACAGCAGTTGAGCGCTGGGTTGCAAAACTGCCCGCAGCCTTTGCAGCGCCAGTTCCATCCCCTGCCACCAGGCGAGGGTCCCACATGGCTTGCAGACCTCTCCTGCAAGCCCGTTGCTCCCCTCAGCAGTGTATTTCGTCAATCTGCCTGTTCTGTTCCCCGCTCTGTCTCTGGTGAATTCTCTCACCCTCCCGCGCTTCTGACTGTACCCAGTGCTTGTATAAATAAATAAATAAATAAATATTTAAAAAAAAAAAAAAAGACAACATGACATTGTCAACCACAAATTCCCTAAAAGATAGGAAGGAAAGAGGTAAAGGAAGAAATGACAGGAGAGAGGGAGAGTGGAGGGAGACAGTTGAGGAGGGAAGGAGCCCCTCAGTTCATCCAGCAAATCCTAGTATTACTGAAGTAGGGGGGAGAATACCACTTTGACTGAATGTTAAGAGTGTCTCAGAAGACGTTTAGGGTCTAGGTGGAATGATCTAAAGCCAATCTTAACATACAGGAACCTGCTTCCTCTGATTAAAGCTCCTGATATAAACTTCAACATTAATGCACACAGGGAGTGTAGGATATTTGAAAACACTTTTGGCATGTAAAGCATTACTTGAAAAGGAAAGGGTTTCCCCAGTTATCCTGAAAACTCTTTACTCAGTTAAACAAGGTATTGTGCTGAGAAGAGGTTATTGAGAAATATACTGTTAAAAAATTAGATTTAGGGCCTCCCTGGTGGCACAAAGGGGTTAAGATGCAACCTATGAAGCTATTCGCAGGCACTGCAGCACGAGTTCAATTCCTGGCCAAGGAGATACCCACATGGAATAGCAGACCTCTCCTGGCTCACCCACTGCTCCCCTCAGCAGTGTATTTCAGTAGTACTCCCTGTTCTGCTCCCCACTCTGTCTCTGGTGAATCCTCTCATCTCCCACACCTCTGGCCTGTATCCCAGTTCTTGTATGCATGATTAAATAAATATTTTTTAAAAAATTAGATTTAGGGGACATTTCTGAAGCAAGTGGTGAATTTATTTTATGG